CCCAGAAGGCTAGAAGGCTGAATGGAGGTGGCAGTTTATACTCTCAGTATAAGGAAGTTTAGAGACAAGGCTTACTTTAAAAAAAAAAAAAAAATCCCAATTTTTAAAGATCCAACTCAGCTTCTCAATATGGTACTCATTCTTTGTAACATTCACTTTTTTTTTTTTTTGGTCTTTTGAGACAGGGTCTCGCTATGCAGTTCAGGCTGGCCTTGAGCTCACTTTGTAGCCCAGGCTGGTCTCGAACTCCCAACAATCCTCCTGCCTCAGCCTCCCAAGAGCTGGGATTACAGGCGTGTGCCACCACACCCAGCCTGTACCATTCACTTTAGAAACTCACCGTATTCCCCATAACCTCTCATTAACTGAACCCTCCAGTTAACATCTTTTACTAAATCACCTATATAATGGACATGTTGTTTATGACTTACACACAGTAGGGTGTGCCCAATTAGTCAACTATTTATAGGATAGCACTCCACAGTACTCTATTAAAAAGCTTTTGGTATAGCATCATAATTAAATTTACATGTACCTTCTTCATCCAAGAAAGATTACAAACTCCCTTGGGAGCTGTAATGGTTGACACACTGTCAACTTGAGAAGTTTAACTAAGACACAACAGGGGGTCATGGTCTCACTTTGCAAACATTCCCATCCTGTGCAAGATGAGGGCACAGAGATGGTGTGAGTGTTACAGTACCCTAGGGGAGGTAGCCTGCTTACAATGTAAGGGAGGAAAAGAGGCTTGCTCTCCTCCCTTTTTGCTTCTGTTGCTTTTTCTGTCTTCTGCCCCCTTGAACTGTTGCCCTTCACTATGCCACCCTGCCTTGGAACCAGCTGATTATGGACTGAAACCTCAACCAACTGTAAGTTAAATAAACCTTTCCTTCCTTAATTTTTGGCATCAGGCATTCTGTCTCAGCAATGAGTGGACAAGTAACTAAGACAGGAGCCCTGTGCTAATAAGCTTCTTAGTAGCATTAAAGCATAGCACAGTGCTTCACAAGAACACACAGTAAATCTCTTCAATCTAGTAAGTGAAAAACTATAAATTAGCTGAAAAGATGACATGATTAGATCAGAGATTCCCAATTAGTAGTACACAGGTTGAATACAAACAGCATACTTATGTTTCAAGTACCTGTAGAGTAAGTAAGTATTTAAGAAAACTAGAATTGCCAACACTGAAAAATCACACAGAAAAACCCAGAGGTTTTGCTTTTGTTGGGGAGGAATATCGGAATATCTGCCACATGCCCTAAAAGGTAAGAATTAATGAGAACAGAATTATTCCTTTCAAGTTAGATAACTCTTCAGTTTAGCTGTTGTTTACATTATTCATTTATGTCACCTGTTTGGCACTTACAAATATTAGGTTGACAACCACTGATAAAGCCTCATGAATTGGGGTAGGAATGCAGCTCAGGAGTGCAGCACTTTGCTAGCACCCTCAAGATCCCAGGTTCTATCTCTAGCACTACAAATAAAGGCAGGAAAAACTAATGAATCTCTCTGGTAGGCTTTCTTATTCAAATTTTGGCCATTTCTACTCCCTTGTCATCATATTCTTCCACTGCCAAACACGGTTATCAGAATTTCCTCTCTCATCCCAAATCTTGACCACAGGAATCTATAATGCTCAGTAAAGACCGAAAGCACAGTTTTGATAAATCACTACAAACTGCTTAGACTGGTGCTTTGATTAATGGGTCAAAAATTAATGCCAGGCATGGCAGCACATGCCTATAATCCCAGCACTTGGGAGGCTGAGGGAGGAGGCTGAGGCAAGACGCTTGCCATAAGTCCCAGGCCAGCCTGAGCCACATAAAAACACCCTGTCTCAAAAAAACAAAACAACAAAAAATTATTTATCCTTCACTGAAATAGTGTGTAAAACGCACTTACTTAAAGTATACTGTTAACAATCACTTCTCATACTGAGAGCTAGGTAAAAACAGTTTATCTTGGCAAGCTGAATTCAGTAAATATCCATGTAGTTTTTACTACTGGTTAAGAACATGGGCAGTGAATTGCCAAATCTACCAAATGCGGTTCCAAACCTTGATTCTACCATTCTCTAGCTGAGAAATTCAAAGTTACTTAATTTCTCAAAGCTTCAATTTTCTTATCTTTAAAACGTGGACAATAGTATCTACATACGACTATGTGGTTTAAGGCAATGATACAAAGCCCTCAAAAGAGTTACTGGTACACAGAAAACTGAAAATCCAACTACCATTTGAGTATTTATGTACAGAAACAAAAATTACTGAAAACAGATTTTTTTCCTTTGCGAAAAAAATCCCTACATTTTTGGGTGGGAGGGGTTGGTTGGTACCAGGAATCAAATTCAGGACCTTGCACTTGCTAAGCAGGCTCTTTGTCACTGAGCTACAACCCCAGCACTTCCTTAAGTTTTACAATACTGTTTTAATAAGGTATGTGGACACACAATAAGAGATAAATAGTTGACACATGAGCTAATGTAGTAGAGTAATGCTAATGGACAAAGGGCAAAAGAATATCCAAAGGGAAATAAGAGGTCAACAAAAGCAAAAAAATCTATTTATTTACCAAGGTAGCTAATAATTTGGAATGGGCAGAAGAAAAATGAGCATATTTAAGCAGAAAGCAGCAAAGCACAGAAGTAGATAAGTCAGCTGAAACTAGTAATCACAATGTAATTCCAACCATTTTTACTGAAGCCTACTCTAAAGAAAGCACTGTGTGCTAGCGCATGGAAAAGACAAACAGATGCATAAAAAGTTCAGTGTGCTACAATCCCTTCCCTTAAGACACTTAAGGGCTGGGCTGTGATCAGTGGCACAGTGCCTGCCTGGCAAACACAAGGTCTGGAGTTTGATTCCCAGTACCAAAAAAAAAAAAAAAAAACTTGATTAGCAGTCACAGTGAATAGCACATCACAGGTGCAAGATCAATCAGCAAATGTCTTTCATAAATGTAATCAAACGAAAAGACAAATGTATTAAAGTAGAAAGGCCTAAGAGAAAATAACATCTGGAATACATACACCTAAAACCCTATATTCTCCACACAAATACACATGCACACATATATGTCACAGAGTAAACAATTGGGCAATTTTTACATAAGAAAATGAGTAAAACATGTGCTAAGACAAAATTAAGTACGTTGTATTACTTGCTATATAACAAGTTAGCTAGTTAACTAATAGGGTGGTATATTAATCCGTTTCTTAAAGCAGTGGTTGATTCCAGAGCCGGGCCAAGGAAGGTACAAAGTGATCCCGGAACATCTTTTGGTGCCAAAGAAAGAAGAAAGTGCCAAATAAATAAAAGAATGGGTACAACCTGTACTAGTTCATAATGGTCAAAGCTACAACAGTTTGAATGACAGTGGCAGCACAAAGATGAAATAAATATCCAAGTACACACTATTACAAATAAATGAACAGAGAAGAACAACTCTTATTGAAGAATATTAATAAACATAGAAGGAATGGAAGAAAAAACTCATCACTGGAAAACAATAAAAATTCCTGGAATTATTACCAACCAACGAATGCTAAAATAGGCAAAAGTTTAAGAAGAAACTAGATATTTGCAAGCACTCAAAGAAAGTATCTCCTCCAAACTTTACTTACAAAGTGATACATTCTGTTTGTTTTTGTTTTTTTGGTTTTTCTCCGGTACCAGGAACCGAACTCATGACCTTGCGCTTGCCAGGCAGGCGCTTTTGCCGCTGAGCTAAATCCCCAGCCCCTCAAAGTGATACATTCTAACATTACAGCAAACAAACCTGGGAAACATCACCTAACCAAAGAACCATGGTTAGCATTACCAATGAGATACTGACATTACGTACCATCTGACTTGCAGAGGGCATATTACCTTCCCCCGAATGCAGTACCTCCATCTAATCATGAAAAACTATCAGACAAATCCACACTGAGGGAAACTGCAAAATAACCAACCATTACTGATCAAAAGTGTCAAGGTCATAAAAGACACCCCCACTCAAAAAAAGGCCACTGAAAAACCTTTACAAATTGGAAGTCTAAGGAGACATGACAAGTAAATGCAATACGGATTTTGGATTGGATTCTGGAACACAGAAGAACACTAGTGGCAAAACTCATGAAATCTGAATAAAGGCTATGATTTACTCAGTAGTTAATATTACTGTCTGAGGGGGAATGGATATGATAAAAATGTTTTATGTATACATTAAAAAGCCACAATGAAACCAAATATCTTGTAAAATATATATACAGTAGTACCTCAGTTCACAAAAGCTTCTGCTTGCAAACAACTTGATTTGCAAACAGAAGCACTGGCAAAATTTTGTTTTTGTTTGCAAACTGGACTGGGTGACAAACACAACCTTGGCCATCTTTCCCACACAAATAAGCATGGCCATCTTTTCCAAAATCATAGAACAAATTAACTTCATGAACCGAGGCACCACTGTACTAAGAAAATATAAACAGAAAGGGAAAAATAGTAACATCTAATCAATAATATACCAACATTAATTTCTTGGTTTTTTTAATTGTTCTATGGTTTCCTTAACATTAGAGGAAACTGATGAAGTATATGGTTCAGGCGAATCTTATGTACTACTTCTGTAACTGCTATAAGTCTACAATTCATTCAAAATAAAGCATTTTTAAAAGACATGAATGAGGGAGACTGTATGAGTTACCATACCATACTGTTTTTTTACCTTGACTCACTAGGAACTTGTCTGCACTGTAGGTATTATAAGCTACTAGAGACAATATTCTCACTGTTTTTATCGTCTGCCGTTAGTCCAATAATATAATAAAACTGTAACAGTTTACCAAATGTTAGTTACCTAACTTTAAAAATTCCATTCTGACATCCTAAAAATAAAAAGCAATCAGAATTTCATCTTCAATTATATGAGCTTCCTCAAAGTTTTACTTTCAACAGCACTCAATACTATTATCATTGCTTACTACACAAAAATAATAATTTAAGTAAAATTCTTACCTTCCAACCACTGCCAGCCTCTCTATAGTATGGAAAGTTATCACAAATCCACTGATAAATCTCACTTAAAGTCATTTTCTTTTTTGGTGAGCTATTAATAGCAAATGTAATGAGGCTGGCATAACTATATGGAGGTTTCCCATCTTTGTGCTGCTGAACTTCTTCCTGGTCCAGAGTTGTATTTGGATCAAGGAGTGCATTCTTCTTAGAAATTCCTGTTCCATGTGCATTTTGTGCCGCATCAGATTTTTGGATGGCTGCTCTCATGGTGAGCTGTGGTAACCAGTCCATAGAGGTTAGGCTGCTCTCCAGTTCAGATGTCATCCTGAAGGTAAATAGACTTCTTAGTCAGTATCAAGGAAAGAACCCCTGCTTCTCAAAACAATCCAATATTCACAAATCTAGGTGTTCCAAAGTGAGGGAAAGTTTGAGTTAAATCTGGAGGAAAAAGATTGAGTATGTTAATAACCAAACCAAATATTTAAAGGATCAACATTTCCAATCTTTTTTCTTAATTTGCGTCTCTTCAAAACACAACAAACATATTTTGAAAGTGTTTATAATACATATGCACAAAGTGGTGCTGATGGCAATCTTTCTACAAATGAATGTCTGCCACTTTAATAAACAAGATCTTGATACAAAAAATTCCATCTGTAGCTCAGCTCTTTACTTGTCAAACCACCACAAGCCCTTAATAACTCAAGACTATCCATCTGTACCTCAATTTCTTCTATATAAATTTTAGGGGAGTCATACAAACAAACAAATACCAAAAGTAAACTGGAGGCAAAAAGTCAGAGAGGTAATTGAGAAATGGAATTTGCACAGAGAAAGAAGGTACTGAGCAGGTGGGAGGCAGGAAGAGTAAAGCAGCACAGACAAGAATAGCAAAAAGACAACCTAGCAGGGGGAGTTAACTGCAAAGAAGAATGCAAAGTCAAGGACACTGGTGAGCACATGAAAAGGAGGACAGGCAGTACCAGGCAGTAATTTAAAAAAGAAAAGGTGAAGAAACCAGCTCATAAAAACTAATTAAACATCTAGGAGTATATAAGAGATTAAATCATATAAATGGCCAGGAAGAAAAGAAACATTACAAGCGCAAGGACAGGTTTGGGCAAATGTCCAGTAATCTAGATTCACTAATATATTTATCTTGAAGACTAAAATATTCAGACCATTACCACTGGAAAAGAATACAAAAATATGCCAGGCTAACATACATTCTAGAAAAGGAAGGAAGTTATTTTAAGAATTGAACATGAGAATATAGACAGGAAGCTTGATGGTTCACATTGCAATTGTTAAGTTTCAGCAGAGATGTAAGCCCTTCTACGTTGGGATCAAAGAAGGAGGAATCGTAACCCTGGCAATGAAGCAGAGAAGAATGAAAAGACCTGTAAGTGCCATCAAAATAAAGGGGAAAAGAAAATAAAACATCTCAGTCAAAAGAAAGCACCTGGGGCTGAGCATGTAGCTCAGTTAGAGTGGGCTTACCAAGTACATGCAAGGCTCTGAGTTCAATCCCCAGGAATGCACCTCCCCCTAAAATTATGGCTAAGAAAATTGTATATAGGTCCCTTATCCCAAATGGCCCCTAGCGAAGAGCACCGCGCAATACTCTAAGTAGAATATGAACTTCTAGGAGGCAACATAGGATTAACAAAGACAACAGGCTTTGGAATCAGTGAGATCAGAATTCAAGTCCAGCCTCCAGCAGTTAGCAGCTGTAGGACTGTGAAAATGTTCATTATCTCTTAACTCCAACTTTTTACCTGTAAAATGAAACAGTAATACCACCTATGGTTAAAATATTACTTTGAAAATTAAATGTGTTGACATATACACAGAGAAAATATTCAATGAGTGTTAATAATACTGGTCTAGGAGTATCTTGGGAGGAAAATAAATGTACTTTAAGGGAAACTAGATTAAGCAATAGCAATTATAAATCAAAAGACAGCTATGAGGATTCTATCTAGATTGCCAGTAAGCAGTTCTATTATTATCTTGCTTTTCTGATGGTCTCATTCAGTTTTGCCTTCTTAATCTTCTCAAATTCTCTCCTTTTCTGGTATACGCATTTCACTGAAACTTGAACTTTAAATTTCCCCTAATAGCACCTTCAGAAATCAAAAAAATAAAAGAAAAAAACCTATCACCCTATGGTAATAGCCAGAAATGACTGATCCAATCATGAAGAAAGTTGTAAGGACTTGAAAATAAAGAGACAGGATATTTAGAGATCATACAATAACAAATGACTAGGAATGTACCCTAGAAATTATAAATAACCTCAATTTAAAGATGAAAAATTAAGGTACACTAAGGTTAAAGGCTCACCCAGTTTCACAGACTACCCAGCAGAATTACAACAGATCTTAGTTAAAAACATATTTTAATCACATCTCTTGGCTCCCAATCCTTTTCTACCACACCTTGTCTATAAAATAAGGAAGATAATTAAAACAGTACCTACAAGACATAAAAATAAAAGCACTCAGAACATTTCCAGACAATGTTTAATGACTGTTAGGTACTAGTGTGGTGGTATTAATACTAGTTCTGCTACTATTATTCACATTTCATTCACACTGTGTACCATGAATAATAATAATTGGCTTGGCTTTTTTTTTTTTTTTTTTTTTTAATCTTTTTGAGACAGGGTTTCACTGTGCAGTTCAGGCTGGCCTCAAACTCACAACAATCCTGCCACAACCTCCCAAATGCTGGGATTACCAGCATGTGCCACTATGCCCAGCTATCACTAGCTATTATTATATCACACTGTCATCCTATTTGCCTTAACCAAATCTCCATTAGAGCTTTATGTTGTTCAAATTAGCAAAGCACTCAGTTACATGTGTTTTCCAACAACACAGGAGCATGTTCCAAGTTGGAATGTAATTCTTATTGCAGCTACCCCTACTGAAAACCACCTTTAACTTCTGTTCCCTTCTACCGGTGTAAGTAACAAGGTCTTATGAGAGTCTCAGTAAAATAAAATTTTTAAATGTGTTATAATACCTTTAACAGGAATTTATAATTGTATGTGTACAGAACTATGTCAGAGGAAAGTATCTATAGTCCAATTAGAACTGCAAATACAAGAAAAAATGAATCAAAGAAAAGACTGAGCTCTGGATGCTGTAAAGTTCAGAAAAGAGAAAGAACATGGACTGCCATCTTTTTTTTTTTGGTTTTTTTCTCCGGTACCGGAAACCGAACTCACGACCTTGCACTTGCCAGGCAGGCGCTTTTGCCGCTGAGCTAAATCCTCAGCCCCTTGGACTGCCATCTTAAAAGGAGAAAAGAAAGAACTTCAACAGGGGCTGGGGATTTAGCTCAGCGGCAAAAGCGCCTGCCTGGCAAGCGCAAGGTTGTGAGTTCGGTTCCCGGTACCGGAGAAAAACCAAAAAAAAAAAAAAAACCTCAAAGAAAGAACTTTAACAAAGCCTTAAAGAAAGTTAAAACTTAATAGTCTAAAAAAAAAAAAAAGGGTCCCTAGTCTTCAAAGACATCTATGTAAGAATTATGTTACTGTACTCACATTCATCTGTTTTGCTACAGCAAATTTTAAATACACTACAAAATGTCTCAAACTAAAACATGAAACTTCTGCACGCAAATAATTAAATTTTATACCCTTTTGGTTGTGAGGCCAAAAGTGCCTCCAATGTTGGTACTTATGCTGGTGGCTAAGTAATTTCCCATTAAGCAAAACACAAAAGATGACCATTAGATTTGGCCAGATCACCAGTAACTCTAGAAGGAAACCTATTAGTGGAATAGTGATGACAGACACCCACTTGTAGAAGAGAACAGATGGTAGTAAATTTAAAAACAGCATGGAAAGCTCTGAGGAATCTGGTTATGGAAATCTGGTTAAGAAATGTCAGGCCCTCATTACTTCACCTCATTCCACATGCTTCCTAGCTGACCTCCTGGACTCCTGATTTCTCACCATCCCTCCCTGCTAATCACCTCAAGTCCATGCATATACTCCAATAGAAATCTGTCAACATTGCTTTCACATCATTACATCCAAACATTTTCAATGCCTTCCTTGCTCCTACTTTACTAAATCTAAACTCATTTACATCTACTTTAGCTTATATTAATCTCTTATTAATCCTTCTCTAAACTCAATTTGGCATTTTACATGCTGCTTCATATATATAATTGGATCACAGGCCTAAGCTTTCCAGTCTCACCTTTCTGTCAACTACCCGCTCCCCACAGAGGATAGAGACCATACACTACTACTTCTAATGCTATCTAATACCACGCCAGGTACAAGCTATTTGAAAATAACATAGTAATTAGCTAAGGAATAAAAGCCTTCTTTTCTGGGATACCCCTTTTTATTCTGCTTGGGTAGCTTCTACTTGTCCTTCAAGACACCAACCAAACATCTCTCCCTACATAATCCTGGTCAATATCCTCCCCATCTTCCATCTTCTAAGCAGAATGAGCTCCTTCTCGTATAATAGGGTATCACAGTAGTTCTACAGAAGTGTAATTATCTTTACTATCAACAAGACTCAGCTCCTTGAAAGAACTTTCATGATTGAAATAGTAACTGCCCACTAAAGGTATGGGTGTGCCCTTCACCATATCAGTAAGACTAACACCTGTTATAAGCCAAAAATACTGTTAAATGCTAAAAGGAAGAGGTGAAACAGAGGACTTACTAATGTAAGAGAAGGATACTCACAGAATCAGTCTTCTAAGTTGGAAAAAAGTATGACTCAGAGCACAGACTGACAGGTAGACTACCCTGAAATAGAAACTGTTCTACTGGAATAGCAAAGAAAACTGAGAAGATAGAGGCAAATATAAAAGAACACATTACTTGTGGGAGAAAGGAAAGCATGGAGAACTTATGTCTAAAGTTCTCCAATCTATGGTGGTATCTGATTAAAAGAACTCCTGTAAGCAGTTTCTTTTACATAAAATTAAAGAGTAAGGAGCATTAAGATGCAACAACTAAAAACCAAGTCATTTAGTCAAAACTAAGACAATAAAACACTACCACTGATATGACCTCATATATGCTTTTAAACTGCTTTACCACATTGCTTGAGCCCCCCTCTGTAATTCACAGTTCTCAAGGAGTACCAACGGCTTACTTGGAAAAGTTTCCAAGTTGCAACACATCAAAAAGTGTAAGGAAATGGTAGAGGTATTTTCTCCCTAAATGGAGTAAGAGGAAAAACACCAGGGAAATACAAGAAATAAGAATAATGAGGTAATGATAAGGATAATGATCTTGTGACCCAAATATTACTGAATCCTCCCACTCCATTCCTGGCACCTGGC